TTTTTAAAAGCAGGGGAATCCAGAACATGGGTGCGTGACGCTCGTCTCAAGCTCTCCTGCAGTGCCGCTGCGCGAGGGTGCGCGTGCCAAATATGACATCCAGACTTTTGTAAAACAATCATCACACACACGTTCAGTCAGTTCGTGAGTGTGCGTGGCCGATATAAAGAAAAAAATAATCTTCATGATTTATGGACACTGTGTTAGTACTAGCAGGGCTGCCCTTAATGCCACGTCATATCACAACTATATTTCCAGAGTTAATTTTATGTTTAAAATTAATCATGCAATCGGATTTCGGGTGGTATGCGACTCTCACGCCACATAAAATGTAAACGTCATTGGTTGTTAGAGGGGACTTTTGCTGCAAGTCGCTGCCGAAACAATGCTGTGTTGTTGCAAAGTGCCGGACGAGCAGAAAAATTATATTTCTGAAACATTTATAATATAGACCGATGCAGACAAGAGCGCGAAAAAAGCTGTAACGTTACATAACAGCCTCCTACATTTCTGCAGCCCAATACGCATTATAGTCCAGTGCGGCAGTGGCTTATATCCATGTTGTAAAAATTAAATAAGAAAACATTTCTATTGCAAATGCAACCCCCTTCATCAGTGTCAATGTCAGTGCCGTATTGCCCGAGAGCTGCATGGACTCACAAATTGGATATGAAAAGTTGCGATAAATAGTGTGGGCATCATTTTAGATCAGATTCCAATCGGATACAAAGATATTTTAGCAGTGTGAATGTAGTCATAGTTAATACGTTAGCATTTTAGCCATAGTCAAAGCTTCATTTACACGTGTGATGTGGCTGATGAGCTGATGCTGTGCCTCTCTCACCACAAAAGCCTTCTTTCATCAGTTTTTTGCACTCTTCTCTTTAACTTTTGGCATAGAACTCGAAAGGTATTTTCCCGATGCAACCGATATGTACAGACCAAAAATCGACCATTTTTCAGCAGAAATAATTAGCCAAATATGTGAGTCCGTTCAGTTCAATGGTATTGTTTATGTTCTGTGCCTCCAAAATGGCCGACTTCCGGATTGATGACGCGTCGTGTCACATCGTTCACAAAATGGCGGACGGAAACCTCAGTTCATTTTCATGTTAAGAGCCATCTCACTCAGCAACAGACAATGACCCAGTTTTCAGCATTATACCCACACATCAAGTCCCACATCATTCCTCTGTTAAAATGTACATAAGTATAATAAACATTTTCTTACAGGATCAAAATGTGTATACTTTCTAGGACAATGTTTGTTGCTGTTTGTCTGTGCTGTCTGAATTGGCCTTAATCCAGCTAACATTTTGTTCGACTTTATTTTCTTCAACAGATCAAAGACTGTGCTCGAAATATTATTTACGTAAATTACATTCAATAAAAATGGCATCTAGCCTAGTAACTAATTCTTTGCCAAGCTGCAAAGAAGAGCTAACATCCCAGCTAACGTTAGTCAATGTTAGCTTCGTTCGCGCCATAAAGGTCTCCAACTTCATGGTCTCCCTTTCATATTTACGTTAACGTTGCCTAAATTGCAACGTTTACTCAGACGTGATACAGAATTTGTTTTTGTCCTAATTAATAATTCTTAATTTAACTCTAAATTCTTTCTTTTCCTTTTATCTGGAGGGAAGCATGTCAAAGGACCATGAACAAAGTTTAAACGGATCGATAATAACATTTCATCAGCAACAGTTTGAAAGTTCGGAGTTGATGTTAAGGGAACTCGATTGAAACTACGCTTGGCGTGAAATGTTGATGTTTGAAATTGAAAGTTACCTCAAGTTCACCGTAATGGCGCATGATCGAAAAGGGATTATTCCAAGTCCCGCGTTGAGTCTTATTTCGCCCAAAGTTGTGCACACGTCACTCCAGTGATGAGCTGAGCATGTGCTGACGCTTGCTGCAGTAACCGTTGCACTCGGCTTCACACCGGTAAAAGGGTCTGAGCCGAGCGCCCAGAGTTTAACAGCCGTCACTGTCTGGTATATTTGAAATAGCCAATAAAATGAATTGCAGACTCAATGTTGCTAACAAGAAGTTGTACATGCAGGCTACCCATCTCATCCCATTAACCCAATGTTGGCCGGTAGAAAAAAAATTTGGCTGGCATTTTGTTTCTGTTATCCAGCATAGCAATGTGCGAGTGATGTCAGCGGGCATATGCATGTTTAAAATACATAAACGTAATGATCATGACAACTAAATATTTTTGCTATGGTTATTAATATTAAAGAGAGAAGAAAGAAAGACTTTAAAATATTTTATGTTATTTAATGCTACATTAAAACCATCCTTGATTTAACCAGCAAAGTCATTTCCAGAAGTGCTCCAGATCATACAGCCAGCCGGGTTAGGTGAACATGAATCGACCCAGTGCTTTATAGCCGTAAAAAATGCATGTGCCAGAGCGAGCTGCCAGCCTGGTTACCAGTTACGGTGAACATGAATCAGCCCAGTGCTTTACAGCCGGAAAAAAATGCATGTGCCAGCGCGAGCTGCAGGCCACAATCGGCCCGGTTAACACATGCCGATGCCGAGTCTTGTGTCATACCCACGCGACTCTCTGTCGCACAGTAGAGAGTAGTGATCGACCGATATATCGGCCGGCCGATATATCGGGCCGATATTTTAAGTTTTTACGTGTATCGGAATCGGCCGATACACCGCTGCGCGTTCGCCGATAGTTTTTTTCCCCCCGGCGTTATTTATAGACAGGCGGCCACGGGCAGCTCTGTGCTGCTAGAGACGCTGCAGTTCACGTGCCCCGCCCTCCCCCACTAGCAGAGTGCAACCTGCTCTTCACGAGAATGGTAACTTAAACTTTCAAAGGATCTTTTAAATGTTTGACTGCTGAAATATTGTCAAACACTTTGAAAATGGAAACACGTCGCCCTATAACTGTTATGTGCTTGCAACTAAGCAAGTTTGTGGGTCCAAATGGAAAACGCCAATGCCTCGTCTATAAAACTTAACTGCTTGCCATTGTATTAGGGAGCTGCAAATAGCTAAGGTGTAGGCTATCCGTTCAGTATGCATTAGGACTGTCTATGAATATTCTACATTCGAATATGTATTAATTTTGAAGGTGAAAATTAATATTTGAATATGGAAAAACACGCCCGCGGTTGCAGACTAATAACGTTACCACAGCTGCACAGCTCGCTCGGAGCGCTCACTGTCGGTTCTATACTGTGAAACTTCAATCACTGAATGAAGCCTGCTATATTTGGGACACGAGTCGCGACTCGCAACCTTAAATTGCTTGCACAAAACTCTTGATCAGCACTCAACATTTGTTTGTTGTTCATTTAACCGACGCGCAGAGAGCGTGAGGGCGAGAGAGAGAGAGTGCCTGAGCAAGTCCGGGCGAGAGAGTGAGCTCTGCGGTCTTGGCCATTAGTTGATTTAGTTTGCTTTTTAATACGTTGTTAAATATGTTTAAACTCAAATAAACTATCTAATACTAGTAGTTATGTCTCTTTGCATTAATGTGTCCTGTTATTGACGTAATGCGCGTCAACAACAAAACGCGCTTGCAAACGCCATTTGAGTAATTTTGACAGCCCTAGTATGCATACGGGTGCTGTAACGAACTCTGGTCATAGGATTAAGTAATGCCAACGTTGTTCAGTGTTTTTTGTGGGAGATTTATTCAGCGCTCTCCTGGCTGAGGTTTGGACGCGTGTGGTGTGTGTCTCCCTCGCCATCGCAGTGATATAAAGAGACTAGACATGCTCATTTTATTTTATGTAGAAAAATTGAAACCATGCAGTATATAGTTCGTTTCTTTTAAAATGAAGTACAGTGTGCACTGTGCACTTTATTATGCTGGTTGCTACTGTGTGCAATAGTGTAATTATTTAATTTATGCTTAAATATTTATTTTCAGCACTGAACTTTTTTTGTTCCACTTTATGTTTTTAATATTTGTTAAATTGTTTATCTACTTCTTCTTGTTCTACCTCACATGTTTTTACTATTTGTTAAATATTAATTTTTGAAGTTAATTAAATGTTACTTTTATTAAATTGAGACCTGTAACATTTGTTAACATCATGTTATTTTTAGATGTAAATTGAGGGAGCAAAATGTATCGGCTCCAAATATCGGCTCAAGAAAATCGGCAGCCCGTATCGGTCATCGGCTAAGGCTGATGGGGAAAAAATCGGTATCGGTATCGGTATCGGCACTAAAAAATCCATATCGGTCAATCCCTAGTAGAGAGATTACCGTATGGACAGGAGAAGCAGCTCGTGGGCAATCGGGGAAACATGGAGGCAAAATGACAAAATAATTAATCAGAATACCTAACAAAAGTTTCTCCTGCTCCTAGCTCATGGACAGCTCCTACTCACACTCTCCGCCTCTGCATGTTTGGGAAGGGAATGATTCAGATTTCTCATGCCACAGCACTAGAAGACAGACGGGTCGCTCACGTCACATCTACGTCGTCAAGCTCTGTTTGAGTCTGCGCGTCAGGGACGGAAGTGCTAAAAAATCGCCAAAAACGGGCTTCAATCGTCTCAATGGAGTTCCAATGAGATCGCTCTGTCCATTTTTTATACTGTCTATGGTTCATCCACCCGGTGTAACAAGATGGCGAAAGTGTGGATCAACAATGGAAAGTGTGATCTAAAAACCTGAGACAATGCTAGTCATAAAATCTTAGAAATGCCCTAAATTATTTTTGGTAATCTCATCATGTTCCATGTACTTTAATGTCTTATATATGTGACATCTTACATATGTCTATTTGTCTTGCAAGGTTTTTATACAATATACCAAGATTTTGGTTTCACTAATGATTGCACAACTCATATAACTTTGATGTTACGTGTATCTACTAAGAATATTGTTTGTGGATTTACTGTCATATATAGTAATTATAATTTCCCAAATTATCTTAAATCTCATATTACACAATTTTATTAAGGATTTTGTGTCTTCTTTGACTGTTATATGTATTACTTACAAGTTTCATATTGTCGTGTATTTTCTTCCTTGACCAGCAATAATGACCACTGACGACTTGAATTGAATAAACTGAACTGTTTACTGAAGTTTCTGAACTTGAATCATTAGATACAGCGCTCGCACATGAAAACAATCTCTTTCTCTTTTTTTTCCTCACATACACTGATGCATTATTGGTAGAATTCTCTTAAAGCTGAACACCCCCATTAATGTCAAACTGTTTCTGTTATTATTAAAGATAACAAATTCACATTTCTATTCTGATTAATTCACAACATCCTCCCCCCCATGAACAAATGTTCATCAACTTAAATCTCTAATGCATAAAGCAATTGAACGGGTCTCTTCAACACAGTCCCTGTGGATGTACGCAAAGCACAGGATCTAACTTTGCCATCTCTGCCTGGAAACAGCTCTTCAATCTTTCCCAATTTCCAGGTTTGTCTCGGCATATTGACATCTCCTATGAGCACAACGTCACCCATTTTCAACTGAGTAGGTTTCTGCGTGTTGCAGGAATGTGCAGATTTCAGATCCAGTAGATAATCCCTCCTCCAACGATTCCACAGGTTGGTCATGAGTCGGTTTCTGTATCTCCACCTTCTTGTCATATCACCCTTACTCACAGTGGGATGATCATAGTCGGCTGGAAATGGTTTTGGAGGTAGTGAAGTGAGTCGTTCACCAACTAAGAAATGTGCTGGCGTTAGTGGCTGCGGCTCATCAAGCTCATTGTGAACAAAAGTGAGAGGTCTGGAATTCAGTATGGCTTCTACTTCTGCAAGAAGCGTAGACATTTCTTCAAATGTGAGTGATGCCTTTCCTAGCACCTTCCTCATGCTCATTTTCACAGACCTTACAAGTCTTTCCCAAAATCCACCCCACCAGGCAGCTCGTTCTACAATGAAACGCCAAGTTATTCCTTTTCCTGAGAAGTATTCCAGGATTTGTGGATCTTTGATGGCTTTCCACAGCTCACTAAGGTCTTGGTTTGCTCTTTTAAAGGTTTTGGCGTTGTCCGAATAGATGACTTTACACAACCCTCTTCTGGAAATAAATCGCTTGAGTGCTAACAAGAAACTCTCTGTCGACTGACTTGAAACCAGTTCTAAATGCACCGCTCTCGTGACAGCACATGTAAACATAGCAACATAAGCCTTGCATAATGCACGATCACCCTTCACATACAGCGGTCCTGCAAAGTCTATGCCAGTCACTTCAAATGGTGGTTTCTCAGATACTCTGTCCCTTGGCAATGGAGCCGTGTCCTGCTGTGCGGGCTTGACTTTGAATCTCTTACACACAGTACATTTTGACAAAACACCTTTAACGATTTGTCTGGCTCTCAAAATCCAGTATCTACTTCTTGTTTGCACTAGTGTGTCTCTCAAACCAGAATGCATGATGAATTCATGGTTGTACTGGACCAGCAACTCACAATATCTGTCTTTGTTGGGCAAAATCCATGGATGTTTCTCTCTGTAGCTGAAGTCTGACTGTTGGAGTCTGCCTCCAACACAGAGCAATTCGTCCTCGTCCAGAAAAGGTCTTAAATCTCAGATTTTTGAGTCTGCGTTCAATGTCTTTCCAGCTTTCAGCGAACTGATTTCAGGACTGAAGCTTCTTTCTTGTGTCAACTTTATCCAATACTTTTCAGCTTCAAACATTTCATCTGCAGTCAACTCACCACGCATCTTGGAGCTTGAACTGGCATTATGCACAAACCGCTTAATCCAAGCAGTAACTCGCAGAACTCGCTTTAGCTTACTGTACTTCATTAAGTCCACAACAGGTTCCTTTTCTCGTTTTTCACCGCTGCTGAGTTGCACTTGCACTTGATCTTGTGTTAACTCACTAACCACAATTTCGTCACTTGTCTCTTCTTCACTTTCTTCCAACGGATTCAGTGTAGTCAGAAATGAAGGTCCGTTCCACCAAATCTCACTTTCCTTCAGGTTAGCTACAGTCAGACCTCTGGTGGGAAGGTCTGCAGGATTGAACTTGCTCCTACATTGAGACCACATTTCAGGATTGGTTAAAAGCTGAATTTCTGACACTCTGTTTGCCACAAACTGTTTCCATTTGTGAGCTGGACTGCGAATCCACTGCAGCACAATCATCGAATCCGTCCACATATGAACTTGATGAAGCTCCATATTCAGAGGCTTTAACAGACTGTTTCCGAGTCTCGCTCCAATTACTGCTCCCATCAGCTCAAGACGGGGCAGTGAGATCTTCTTCAATGGGGCTACCCTGGACTTTGAAGCAACGAGGCATGTTGTTTTTGTTCCATCATCAGCTACTCGAAGCAGGTAAGCAACAGTGCTATAAGCTTTCTCGCTTGCGTCACAGAACACATGGAGTTGATGTGCGTTGTGTCTATGCATGCATTTTGATCCATACCAACGAGGAATGTGTATGTGATGGATCTGTGGTAGCTCTGCACACCATCCTTGCCATTCTTGTGCAAGATCCGAGGGCAGCTCCTCATCCCAGCCAAGTCCTCGTATCCACAGCTCTTGGAAAAGACATTTTACTCGCACAGTAAATGGAGTCAGAAACCCTATTGGGTCGAATATGCGAGCAGATAGCTTTAGAACACTTCTTTTAGTATTCTCTCTCTTCGCTACAGCGTCCAACAGTGCAGTCAGGTCAAAAACAAATTCATCTGTTTGAGTTCTCCATACCAAGCCTAGTACCTTCAGCACTGATCCATGCGTTTCTGTCTCCTCAGCAGGTTCACTCATTGTCTCCTTCCATTTTTCCTTCAATGCAGCACAGTTGGTTGTCCATTTGCAAAGATTCATTCCAGCTGCAGACATAATCTCTTTTGCACCAGTAGTTATGTGGAAAGCATTCTCAACATCACTTGCACTCGAGATTAAGTCGTCAACATAAAGTGATTCTCTGATGATCCTTACTACTTCAGGAAATTGGTGTTCATATTCCTTCAGATGCCTTCTTACTGTAGCCGCTAGGAGGAATGGGCTCGGGGACACTCCAAACACCACTCTTGTCATCCGCAGTACACGTAGCCTTTCACCTGCGTCTTCATGAGGCAGTGCAGTGAACCATAGGAATCTCACTGCATCTCTATCCGTCTCAGCAAGAGAAATCTGCAAGAAAGCCTTTTCAATGTCTGCAGTAAAAGCAATCTCATTCAGTCTGAATTTGATCAGTATGCCAAGCAGATCTGGATTCAGGTTAGGACCAGTAAGTAGACAGTCATTTAATGATGGAACCCCAACTTCATGTGATGAAGCATCAAATACTACTCTGAGCTTTGTGGTTACCTTGTCCTCTCGAAGAACAGCATGATGAGGCATGTAATACTTTACAGCGTTTGAAGATGATCCATTCTCCACAACATCTTCGACAATGCCCTGCTGAAGGTAATCATTCACCACTTCATTATATCTGTGATACATTACCACATCTGACCGCAACCTCCTTTTCAGTCCTTCAAATCTTTTCTTTGCGATTCTGTAGTTATCTGGGAGCTCTGGTTTGTCAGGTCGCCATGGCAGCTCAACTTCATATCGCCCGTTCTTATACTGAGTAGTTTTTTCAAACATGCGAAGAGCATCCTCTTCTTCAGGGCTGTTGGACTGCTGCATGGTAATGCCAAGGGATTCGGTCTCCCAGAAGGCCTTCAAGCGTTCTGAAACCAGTGTGTCTTCATCGATATGGATGTGCATGCATGCTGCGTCGGAAACACTGGACATTGTGACTGGTCCCTGCACTGACCATCCAAAAATACTCTCAACGGCCACCAGTGCATCTGTGATTCTTTCCACTTGGCCTGACACCACATGCCAATAATAATCTGCACCAATCAGGAGAGACAACTCTGTATCACAAGTGCCTGGGTCTTGATAGTCTGCCAGCTGCAAGCCTTTTCGTTTCATTTCTGCTTGGATGTGCTCACCTGGAATCTTCATCACAGCAGTGCACACTTGTGGAGTTTCGAGAGCTTCCACTTCCACTTTCTGATCTTTGTTCCAGATGCTTTGCAGAGTTACCTTCACTGTGTTGCGCCTGGATGTTGCTGGTGCTGTGGATTCCGAAGGTATGAAGAGTGAACGTTTCTTGCTTCATCACAGGTAATTTTAAAGCTCTCACTGTGTTCTCGCTGATGAAACTTCTCTGGCTGCCACCGTCCAGTAAGCAGCGAATGCTTTTACGTCCACCAGGTCCTTCTGCCCACGCTCTTACAGTCTGAAGGAGCACCGTGTTCTGCTTATCGGACTGCATTTTAACAGAATGGGAAGCAAATGAAGAAACTACATCATCTTTATCATCGATGTCTGAAGTGGTTGTTTCTCCTTTCTCACACACAGTGCTATGATGCCTGCCACCACACACAGTACAGGACACTTTGGCTTTGCAGAATCTTGCTATATGCTTCTGTCCAAGACAAACAAAGCATCGTCCAGTTTCATCAATTTTGCTTTTCGTGCAGCAATTTCAGTTACTGTACACAGTTCTGTTTTGTGCGCTGCGCTATCACAGAAAAGACAGTTTGGTATTTTTTGACTAGAGGTTTGCAGCACTGCAGCTGATGGGATGTTATGTTTTTTCTGCTCCATTTCAATTAATGTCTCTGGTCTTTTAAATGGTTTGTGATAGCGCTGGCTGTCTTTGGAATTACCTGACTTAATCAGTTGCATTGTTCTTTCTCTGCTCAAAATCTCGTTCTGCAGAAATTCCATAACTTCTGAGACCTTCCATTCATCACTGGATCCTCTTTGTCGACTGTACTGAAGTGCAATGTCTTCCGGAATCATTTGTAGCAGAACAGGGCATAACAAGCTGCCATATGCTTCTGATGCAACACCCAGCGATTCTAAGCTACGAATCTGTACTTCACATTCATCGTAAAGTTGTCTCAAAGCACTCACGTCGTAGGATTTTTTCACTGGGCAGAGATTCAACAACTTGGTCATGTGCGCATTAATGAGCAGATCTTTTCTTCCGAAACCGGTTCTGAAGCAGATCGATCGCGTGATCGTAATTGCTGTCTGTCAACATCAGTCCCGCTATAGCCTTTGAAGCAGCGCCGGCTACATATGTCTTCAAGTAATTAAACTTCTCTGTTTTACTTAGCGCGTCATTTCTGTGAATGGCCGTTTCAAACTGATTCCAAAAGTCCTGCCACAAGCTAATGTCACCCTGCTGAACTTGTTGATGATTAACTTGGGTAACTTAACTGTTTGTCCGCGCTGCGCTGGTACTGCATCACGCGGCCTGCTATCAGTGTTTTCCCGAACTCTCTGCATCACGCGCCGCACGCGGGCTTTCGCCGCTGATGACTCGCTGGCCATACTCCTCAGCGTCGACAACTTCATTTTCAAGATCCTCCACATCTGTATGCTCCTCTATTTCGTGATCTAACTCCAGCAGCGTTTCCTCTTTTGCAGATAACATGGCTAACAGTTCACATAATCTGTCAACGACTGGATCTTCCTTGCTAACCTCCGTTTCTATGTCTTGCAAAAGTCTCGTCGTGGAACCGCGCACAGCTCTCCGTTTTCTGTGTAGTCTTTCAAGTCGCTCCGCCATTTCGGATGTTGCTGCAAGTTATCCGGGTTTCGGCACCAAAGAAATGTCGTGTATTTTCTTCCTTGACCAGCAATAATGACCACTGACGACTTGAATTGAATAAACTGAACTGTTTACTGAAGTTTCTGAACTTGAATCATTGATACAGCGCTCGCACATGAAAACAATCTCTTTTCTTTTTTTTTTCCTTACATACACTGATGCATTATTGGTAGAATTCTCTTAAAGCTGAACACCCCATTAATGTCAAACTGTTTCTGTTATTATTAAAGATAACAAATTCACATTTCTATTCTGATTAATTCACAACAT